CCCCCCCAAAAAACAAAATCCTAAATACGCGCTCTTATTGAAAATTTATCATTCTTGGCTAATAAATAATAAAATTAACATTGTGTTAACGAGATATTAATATCAATGTTATTATTATTAATATATGATGAGGCATTCGTTATTAATCTCGACATTACAAGTGAAAATAATGTAATCATGGGATATTGTAGTGTTTGCAATATAGTTATGAAGTCCGTTTCTTCTTGTCGCTATCTAGTTTAGTCACCAATTAAAATATAGTTAAGAACATCTCATGTTGTTCACATCTAGTTATGTTACAAATTTTAAGTTGTTAACAAATAGTTATTGTAATAATCGATAAACAAGTGATCACAACCTTTACATAAACATATTATTAATATTAGTCATTAATTATTATTATTTTAGATCATCATTACATTGTGCCACCAATTTCATGTTGTTAACATATTATTTTGCCACGACCCGAAATTTCCATCACAGGAACCATGATGGCGCCTAATATTTCACTTGCTAGGCAAGCCAACGTTAGATTAATCTTAACCATTTTTAAATAAATTAAACTAAACGGAAGTCAATTACTGAAATAAAGTGCGGAAGACCATAACTACCGAATCATCAAAATACATCCCCGAATCTGGTGTCACAAGTGTACGAACTACTAGAATAATATAAATAAAGGTTTGAATAAAATTCAAGTTGTTTGAAAGATAATACACAACTAAGATAAGATAGAAGGGTACTTCAGAACTGCGGACGATGTGCAGTTATACCTCAAGTCTCCTCTGGGTAACTGAATCCGAGCACGTCTATGGTACGCTGCTGGGACCAACTCCAAAATCTGTACAAGAAATGTAAAGTATAGTATGAGTACAACCGACCCCGTGTACTCCGTAAGTGTCGAGCCTAACCTCGACGAAGTCGTGACGAGGCTATGACAGTTACCTCGATTTGCAAGTCCTACTCCCTCAAGTTAAGGTTAACCACGACAGTTACCTCGATTTGCAACCAACTAAAGATTCCAATACGCCTTTTGCCTCGCGAATTAGTATCTGAATGCCTCGAATCTAGTCACAAACAATTCAATATACTCAACACGATTCGTAGGAATTAATTCCACATGGAATTTCTAATTTTCTGAATTAAATTCCGAAATTCATCTCAAAAATCAACGGTGAGACTCACATCTCGAATCTCGAAAAAACTTACGAAATCCGAACACCCGTTCCGAGACGAGACCAACCATACAAAAATTATCAAATTCCGATGTCAAACCTTCAAATCCTAAATTTTCGTTTTTGAAAAGTTTTACAAAAATTCTAATTTCTTTCATCTAAATCCGAAATAAACAATGAATATGGACATGAATTTATGAAATATCATCAATATATGATAAGGAACACTTATCCAGTTTGAAGTCGTGAAAAACTCCTTCAAATCGCCCAAAAACCGAGGTTTTAAAACCCAAACGAAATGAAGAAAAATGGCCATTTCCGACCCCTTAGTGGTCGTTTGGTATGAATACGGCTTATGTTGGGATACGTTACACTTGAATTAGTTATGCTGAGATTAGTTATCATGGTATTATATTTATTCACTGTTTGGTATGTTGTATTAAAAATGATAATTGCATAATTTCTAAGAAGAAGGTATAAGTTATCCCGACACTAATTACCCCACCCCCTACAAGATATAAGTTATTCCGATACTAATTTTAATCCCGGAATAATTTATACCAGGTTTGTTAACCAAACAAAGTATTAAGGTGGTATTAAAATTTTATACCAGCACTATATATACTTATACCTCATACCAAATGACCCCTTAATGTTATGCCAAGTCTCGCATTTACGGGCAAAAGATCGTATCTGCGGCCTTGCATTTGCGAGATAAGGGCCGCATTTGCAAAGCCAAGCAGCCATGCGAGTTTCGCATCTACGAAAAATGGGCTGTATTTGCGGATGCGTAGAAGCGCAAGAAGGAGCCGCATAAGAGACGGGGTGTGCATTTGCGATCGGCTGGCCTCAGAAGCGGTATCGCACCTGCGATCAAAGCTTCGCTGAAGCGAAGCTTCCTTCCCAGCCTCAACGTCGCAGAAGAGACATTTCCTTCGCAGAAGCGGGCACGCACTTGTGGCCAAAAATGCGCAGGTGGGACGCAACAGAACCAACACTGGACAACATGTTCCAAATGGTCAGTGGCTCGTCCGAAATTCATCCGAGCCGCTCGGGACCCCGTCCGAATATTTCAACAAGTCCCGTAATATAATACGGACTTATTAGGGGTCTCAATTCACATCAAATAACATCGAAATTTCAATTCACACCTCGATTCAGAATTAGAAGTTTCAAACTTTTCTATTTACAAAACTCATGCCGAAACATATTAAACGAATTCGGAATAACTTTAAATTTGGCGCACAAGTCATAAATGACATAACGGAGTTATTCAAATTTCTAAAATCGGGTTCCGACCCCGATATCAATAAAGTCAAATCCGTGGTTAAACTTTGGAATCTTCAAACTTTCAATTTTCAACAAATAGCGATAACTCAAGGTAAGGACCTCTAAATTAAATTTCGTGCATACGTCCAAGTCCCAAATTACGATACAGACCTACCGGAACTGTCAAAATACTGATCCGGATCTATTTGCTCAAAACGTTGACCGAAGTCAACTCAAATGAGTTTTGAAGCACTATTTCACATTTTAATCAAATCACGAAGTCAAAACGTTGACCGAAGTCAACAATATTCGAAAAAATTTACGGACTGCACACGCAAGTCGAAAAAAGCTGAATGGTGCTATTTGAGGTTTAAGAACACATAAATAATTATTAAATTTAAAGATGACCTATCAGGTCATCATATGTTTAGTCATTAATTTTAGTTTTATACTTTATAATGTCACATTTCTTTTTAAAATATTATTTACTTATTAAAATACTATTATTAGTTTGTAATTTGTAACAAATTTATAATGTGCAGATTTTTCATTAACATGTTGTTAATATTTCTCATTAATTATCATTATTTTAGATTATCATTACGTTAAGTCACCAGTCTCATATTGTTAACATATTATGTAGTCACTAATTTCCGTCAAAAAGTAATAATTATCAATAAGAGAAATGCGTATTTAGGATTTTTTGGAGGATGGGTGTGTGGAGCAGAGGCGGATTTAGAAATTTAACTTTATGGGTTCAAAATTTAGATTCTAGGATATACCTCAAGGTACTATATAATAATAACCGAATGAAATACGAACAATGATATTTAATATATATGTAACAAGTACCGAACCATCTAACATAATATATATTCAATAAATATCACCATTACAATTGAACCCAACGGGTTGTCATGTTTTGAAAACGATCAATAATCGCATCATTAGGTACACTTTCAAATACTTCATCTTCTATATAACAAACTAAACAGTTATTCAAAAATCCATCACCAATTTTGCTACGCAAGTCATTTTTGATGTACTTCATTAAAGAAAAAGCTCTTTCTACTGTTGCAGTAGCGACATACAATATCAGACTTAACTTCATAAGTAAAAATATAAGTCTCCAAGTCTTGTACAAATCTATTTCAACTAATGTTTCTGAAAGATCTCCAAGTCCTTTCAAGTTAGAGAAATCATTGTCTTCTTTCACAAAGAGAATATAGTTGTCAAGCTCGTAACTGAGATCTTCAAGCTTTGAACCACTAAACTCATGAGGATAAAGTGTAGCAAGTTTCATAATTCTGTCTTTATCATAATTTGTAAAAGAATTATCCGGACTCAAACTAGCCATATCAAGAAGTAGATTACTATTCACCGCATCAAAACGACTGTTAAGCTCTGAAAGTTACAAATCAATAATAGTATTAAAAACTTCGACACACAAATGATGAGAATATGTAACACTTGAACTCCTATGCTTTGACTTTCCAAGATGATAGTTCTTATCCATTTCAGGGATCACAATATCATACTTGGAACAAAATGAAGAGGCGTCATCTATCAAAGATTCCTATTTAGATTCTCTCATCACTTGCAATTGCCTCTTGGCGAAACCAACAAGCTTCATAGCATTTACAATATCCTGATCTTTTCTTTGCAAAGCTATATTCAAATCATTTGTGATTGCTAATAATTTTAACATCAAATGCATCATATGCACAAACTCAAAAGATCTTATGTCATTCACTAGACTTTTTGCCACTGATCTCTCAAGATAATTTGCACCCTCACTTGCAAGAAACTCAAGTACATTAATGATTGACGAGAATAATGCAATAAAGTTACGCACTGTCTTAAAATGAGAACCCCATCAGGTATCACCTAGCCTTTGGAGTCCAAGTTTTTGATTTAGTCCACTTCCTGTATGAATTTCACCAAGCACTTGTAGCTCCTCTAATTTTTTTGCCTGATCCTCTCGTAGCATATTCCTACGCTTAAAAGAACTTCCAACAATATTCAAGACTTTAGCAACAATATAAAAAAATTGATCTACATCACAATATTTTTTTGCAACGGCTACAAGAGTCAATTGCAATTGATGGGCAAAACAATGTATACAATATATCGAAGGATTATCTTTCAGAATTAAAGTTTTAAGACCATTGATTTCGGCTTGCATGTTACTAGCTCCATCATAACCTTGTCCCCGTATTTGAGATGGACTCAATGAGTGCTCTAAAAGCAAATCATAGATTGCTTTTTGTAATGACGATGAAGTTATTTTTTTAACATGAACAATACTAAGGAATCGCTCAATAAGTTTTTCCTCTTTGTTGACATACCGCAGAACAAGAGCCATTTGTTCCTTATGAGAGACGTCCTTAGATTCATCAACCAAAATTCCAAAATAATCTCCATTTAAATCTTCAACTATTGCTTTAATTATTTCTTTCGCACAAGCATTCACGATCTCTTTTTGGATATTTGGAGCAATCATCATGTTATTTTGTGGAGCACTTTGTAGCACAACTTTTTTCACTTCATCATCCCTATCTGCATACCATTGTAAGAGTTCTACAAAGTTTCCTCTTTTAGTAGAAGTTTCACCTTCATCGTGGCCCCGGAAAGACATTCCTTATTTTAAAAGAAATTTTGCCACATCAATCGAAGCATTCAACCGAACTCGATAATCACTTTTAATTTTTTTTAGACTGCTTGTCAAAAGAGGTTAGAATTGATTGTTCTTGATTAATTAAATCTCTCATCATCATAAAACATCTATTGTGAAGACTATTCACCTCTCCAATATGTGCGTTAAGCCTTTCTGTAGCTTTATTCCAAGCTCTAAAACCACTCTTTGTGAAAGAATCCCCAACTTTTTCATTTCCTCCATGCTCATTTTTAAACAAGTAACAACATAAGCAAAATGCTGCATCAACTTTAATACTATATTCTAACCATCCAGAGTATGAAGTGTTAAACCATTCAAGATTAAACTGACGCATAAATCCACCAAAATCTCTTTTTGGAAAACTACAATTATGAGATTGACAAGGTCCTTGTTGAATATAATATCTTCTCACTCGGTCACGTAAATTCGGAGGATACTCTGAAATTTGCTTTCTTTCTGCGGGATCAGGTTCAAGATTCAAATTCAACATTTTTTCTTTGTTTGATACCGCCGAAGGATTGATATTGTCATGAATAATTGGACATGGAGAAGAACTCGGCGTAGGAGGACTAGAACCAGAACCAGGACTTTGAGGAGTTGGAATAACCTTGAAAAATTTCGTGATCATATCCACCTTCACTAAAAAGATCCTAAAAATCACAAAAAATAAATTACACTTCAAAGTGTAATTGAAACTTAATCCAACCAAATCGATATTTCAACAACTTAAGTACTTATGAAGTTGGAGTTAATATGATACAATATCTAATTTCTTCAGCACAACAAGAATGGAGTTATTCCCCAGGCCTAAAAGTAAGATTAGTTTAGGAAATGATTGACTAGTAATTAATATGATATAAAAAGTTAAATTTATCCTTAAAACTCAAATGTTGAAGTACAAAACAAATCATTGCAGTTTATCACTAAAATTTACTATATGTGAGCTAAACATGAGTTTAATAGTTAAAATAAATGAATCCAAAATAAAGTCTTTAATTAGTGAAGTAATAGAGTAAAACATTTGACCCGTTTCTTATATGGAACCAAAATGCAAGAACCAAGAACAATAGTATCAAATCTTGTAACTTATAATTAATAAATATTATTGTATTATTATTGAGAAAGAGCAATAGAGGCATACCAACAAAACTAAAGAAGAGGATGGATTGCAGTTTATGTCCAAGAAAAACTGAAGAAGAGCCTTTGCTTTGATTCTTTTGAAACTCTAGCTTTAAAAATTTGGGAACCGATGAACCTTCTGAAAAGTGGAAGGTTTTGATCTCTTAAAGTTTTGTGAAGACCAACTTTTTTATAATTATTAAAAAGCCCCACGAGTTAATGAAGTACAAGAATAAAATTAATTAGGTAGGTCTTCATCTTTTAAGGATAAGAAACGGACCTCTTTAAATGGGAAGGGGCAAAAAAAGCCCATAAGTAATAAAGAAGTCAAACAGTAACTCAAATAAAATTACAATAAAAGTTGTGTACACATAGATTCAAACTCCAATCTTCTCGCAATAAGTGGAACTTTGCCCATCAGTTTTAACACTGAACCCATAGCCTCATTTAGTCTATGGGTTCAAACACTAATATATGATCATATTTCAGTAATTTTGCACAGTATATTCTCGGGTTTTGTCGAAAGTTATGGGTTCAATTGAATCCGTATCCATAGCGCTAGATCCGCCCCTGGTGTGGAGGTCGGGATTTTGGTTTTGGCTTTTAGACATTGATAATAGAGTATGTATGAGTTTTAGTATAAGCCAAATGCAACATAAGCACATGTATGCAGTTTTGTATAAACTGACTTAAAATCTATTATAGATTCATATCACACTTTTAAAGTTATTATAAGTACATCTAGGTCGTTTAATATGGACTAAGTTAAAATAGATTATAAACATAAATCGGAAGTGATCATCTTCAACCTCAACCTCAAATCTGAAATTTCATCCAAACCACCTAAAATCTTCTCCAAACTCGCTCAAATTTGAGGTTTAAGCTCCTCAAAAGATCCTCAACAAAACCCTATGATACCCATTCAAAATAATTGACAATTTCGAAAAATTCAATTTTCAAGCTTGAAGCTTAAGCTTTAATAATGGTTGTCAATGGAGTATTTTAGATTTTCCTTCGATCTAGAAGGGAAAAATAGGAAGGAGATGAGTTGGGAGAGGGAAATATATTTTTATATTTCTTTTTTATAAGGTAAAAAAAATACATCTTTACATTTCATCTTTGGTTTATTTTAATTGTTTATTTGTTTGGACCAAATTGTATTTTTTTTAACTTCTGGGTTGGTTTCAACATACATTAATGGGAATTAGCATAATTAGCACTAATCATAAAAGGGGTTCAAATATTAAATAATTAAAACTTGGGGTTCAAATCTTCAATAAAGACTTGAAAGAGTCCCTGCCACAACATAGCCCTAGTAGTTCATTCCATGTTGAAAAGTAAAGTAGTATTTTGCTCCACTAACTCCAAATTTAAATCCACCTCTCCAAGCGCGTACCATCTACAAAACAAAGGTATAAATGGGAGAATAAATTCAAAAATAAGTGGAAAACAAAAGTAACTTATAACCTGTTCGGCAAGTTTTTTTTGGGGCCAAAAATATTTTTTCTTGTCAAAAGTGCTTTTGGCCAAAACCAGAGGTTTTAACCAAGCTTTTAGAAGAAAAAAATATGTTTTTGAGGAGAAACAAAAATAGATTTTGAGAAGCAAAAAATGTAGCTTCTCTCCAAAAGCACTTTTCTGAGAAACACTTTTGAGAAAAATACATTTTCAAAAGCTTGGCCAAACACTAATTACTGCTCAAATGTGTTTTTCAAATTAATTAGCCAAACACAAACCGATTCTCACCAAAAGTACTTTTTTGAAAAGTACTTTTGAAAAAAATAATTCTCAAAATAAGCAGATTTTAAAAGTCTGGCGCTATTAGCCGCTAAGTTTGAAGTAGAGCTTTTACCTTTTCTTTGATCAAATCAATTTAGAAGAATACATGAGAAACTAATTAGTGCATATGTAACGTTACATCATCTGTTCCATTGTGCCGATTTAAAGAAAAGTTGTACCATCTTAGATTGTTTAAATTTTCAAAATTACAATCACATTTCACTTTATTTTACACCTGTCAAGCTAATGATGTTCAAACGAGAGAAAGAGCATAAATTATACTTTCACAGTTACAATTAACAAATTAATAATCTAATTAGAGCACGAGTTAATGTTTAAATAAGCCAAACAACTCTATTTTATGAGTTAATTTTGATCACATAATTTTATTTACTATAACGGCAAATTCTCAAACTACGTGATTGAACTTTATCACAATAGCACATATTAAAGTAGGGAGGCAATTTTCTCATTTTCCTTATCGTCCTTTGTCCCCCTATTCTTTCTTTCCTCTTCCTCTTTCTTCTTCGTCTTCTTCCTTTCTCTCTTTTTATCTTTTCTTGAGCCGAGAGTCTATTGGAATCAGCCTCTCTACCTCGCCAGATAGGAGTAAGTCCTGCGTACACAATACCCTTCCCAGACCCCACTTGTGGGATTATACTGGGTATGTTGTGGTTGTTGTTGTTGTAAAGTAGGGAGGGAATTTGAGGGTCTGCGAATTTTCAATTTTGCAATACAAATGCAAGCCCTCTTTTGTGTTATACTAGTTAACTAAAATACTATGATGATTAGTGTTAGGGGCTTGACCTTTGACTCGGCAGATGACACAATGGTGGCAAGGGGTAGGCGTGAATGGCCTTCTCATGGGCCTATATGCGGGATAAATGAAGCATGCAGAATAATGTTGGTGGACACTGTCAAGTTGACAATAAGCAATGTGGGGAGATTGGTGCGCCATAACATGGCATGGATGTTGGGTGGAACGGACAGTGGCACACCAGCTTGTGGCCTGTGCCGAGGTCGGACCAAGTGTGGGAAAATCAAGGGGGGCTAATGGCAAAGGCTAGAAGGACAAAGGCAAGGCAAGGCAAGGTAAAAGTTAAGGAATGGCACGACGAAAACAAGAGTTGGCACGACAAAGTGAAATACAGCCAAGACATATGTAGCATCAGGCTTGTGCGACTAAGTCATGGGCAGCAGGTTGCGAGCATGGCATTAGAGCAGAATAGTGTCAAAGGGCCAAGGCTGGGCACAATGCCAGCCATGGGCGCGTACAACAACTGAGCACAAAATGCACATGGGGTAGTTGGGCAGTTTTAACTGCTTGTGGCCATATTCCTAAAGTTTTGCAGCACCTTTGTAATTTGAAATTTGAATACCAAGGCAATTGGTGATGTCAACTGCATATTAGTTCTTATTAGTCTTGAGCCAAACAAGTTTCATAAGCCTATTGTTGTAAGCGAAAGGCTAGCACATGTGTTATAAATGTGAAGCCTTGGCCTAAGAGGAAATTAGAGGGTAAAAGACTTGTAATTTTGCTAAGGAACACCAGGAAGAAATGTGAGGGTTTCAAGAGAGTATTTAAAGGAAGCAATAAACTTGTGATTGTGTCTAGTCAAAGTTGAACTTGAGTTGTGACTGACTTGTTCTCATAACGAGTGATAGGTCCTTTGTATATTTTGACATTAATGTAAAGGTTGAGAGTTTTTCCGTATCTGATTGTGCCTTTACTTTGCTACGCTAAAAATAATATAAGTCTCTAAAAAGTTTAACTATCGACAAAGGCTGAGTCAAGTCTACACTTGATAGTCGCATAGTGGGCGAACCTCGAACAGAAACTCGGGCATGAAAAAGCCAATGTGAAAACTAGTATTAGAGCACACGTTAAGGAAGCGGACTTAGCCGTATGACAAGCGGCACGAGCACATAATTTGTCCAGAAGGTGGAGCAGTTGGAATCACTTAGTGGACAGGCCCTTAAAATAGGAGAAGATGCTTCAGTTCTCGCGAGAATAACGCATTTGGAAGCAGATCATGCAGAGAGGGATGAGGCTGCCATGGCAGAAATGGAAATTGAAACGCAATGAGAAGGAAGAATTGCATAGGGAAGTACTCCTACTTCAAAAGACATTGCAAAATAGTGTCCCTAGAGGTGATGAGCATGCAAGTATAAAAGTGCCAGAACCAAAGGCGTACAATAGCATGCAAGGCGCCAAAGAGTTGAAAAACTTCCTTTGATGATGCGAAGATTTGGTTGCGGACAATAGCTGCAAAAATGAAAAGTGCAGGATTGGCACATATTGAAACATGGGAAACGCTGAAGAAATTAAAATCTTAATTCTTTCCAAACAACTTGTTGTGGTTTTTAGAGATGTGCAACGCTTAAAGCAAAGCGGCACTATGAGGACGTATGTAAAGGAGTTTTGTTTATTGATGTTCAATATAGGCAACACGGCAGAAGAAGGCAAGTTGTAATATTTCATGAGCGGGTTGAATTCATGGGCGTAAGAGAGTTGAGAAGGCAGAATGTCTAAAATCTCTCATATGCTATCGCGGCGGCAGATGGGTTGCCTGACTTTGATAAGGGTGACGACCATAAGAAAAATTCGCATTTCAAGTCTAAGGACAAAATAAAGCAATGGAAGAAAAACGGGAACATCCATACTGTCGTAGATGAAGGGAATACTGGGAAAGGAAGGCAAACAGAGAATTCCAATGGTATGGAGAAGGG